TCTTTTTGGGGGGGGAGGGGCTAGTTTGGGGAGAAAGGTGGGAAAGCACCTTTTCATGCAGGGCTTGGGTGCTGCCCACCCATGGAAACCTCCCTTCCTTTCCCTGCTATTGGCGACTTGCAGATCAGGAAATGAGTGAAGGGGTGGGTGCTAGCTACTGATTGAGAGGGAGGGAGCCAGTGAGAAGAGAGGACCAGCTGCCCACCTAGAGAGCTTCAGGGCAGGGGTGTGGCTCAGTCTCCACAGCCCATAAAAACCCAGGTGAGGAGGGCTGCTGCTCAGCCTAGTCCCTGTGACTGAAGAAAGCTGGGCGGGTGGTAGTGGCTCTAAGGCTCCTCTGAGTTGCAGGGGGGCCAGCAGAAGAGCCCAGGAGGATGGGGGAAGCCTCTCTTTCAAAAGGGAGTGTTCTGGGTGGGGATGCGGGGCTCTCAGTCTACAAAAGCTACTGACTTTAAGAGCCGGGATCTGGCTCGCTCTCCCTGGAAAAGCCAGGGCCTCTCTCCCTCGAAAAGCTGGGATCTTGCTTTCCCTCGAAAAGCCAGGGGCTCACTCTCTCTCGAAAAGCTGGGGCCTTGCTTTCCCTCGAAAAGCCGGGGGATCGCTCACTCTCCCTCGAAAAGCTAGGGTCTCTCCCTTGAAAAGCTGGGGTCTTCCTTTCCCTCAAAATGCCGGGGGCTCGCTCACTCTCCCTGGAAAAGCTGGGGTCTTGCTTTCCCTTAAAAGCGGGGGGCTTGTTCACTCTCCCTCAAAAAGCCGGGGGCTCCTCAAAAAGCTGGGGTCTTGCTTTTCCTTGAAAAGCTGGGGGCTCCCTAACTCTCCCTCGAAAAGCTGGGGTCTTGCTTTGTCCCAAAAAGCCTGGGGCTTGCTCACTCTCCCTGGAAAAGCCAGGGTCTCTCCCTGGAAAAGCTGGGGTCGTCCATTCCCTTAAAATGCCGGGGGCTCGCTCACTCTCCCTGGAAAAGCTGGGGTCTTGCTTTGTCCCAAAAAGCCTGGGGCTCGCTCACTCTCCCTAGAATAGCTGGGGTCTTGCTTTTCCTTGAAAAGCCAGGGGCTTGCTCACTTTCCCTCGAGAAGCCAGGGTCTCTCCCTGGAAAAGCTGGGCTCGTCCATTCCCTTAAAATGCCGGGGGCTTGCTCACTCTCCCTCGAAAAGCTGGGGTCTTGCTTTCCCCCCTTTTTTAAAAAATAAAATTTATTTTATGTATGTTTATTAAAAAACCTAACCAAGAACAAACCCTGGCACACTAGAAATCAACGTTTCTTCTGAAAGCCAGCAACAACCGCCAGTGCAGGCACACCTGAGAAATCACAGGTGCCTCAGTCCAAACATCAGGTTTCAAATATTCTTTTTTCCAAACGGTGAAATTCTTCTCTAGTGGTTCAAAACTAGCATTCAAAGAGTTGCTGGTGCGTGGGGGCCCTGATTATTAGCATCGATAGCTTTTACAGCTAGACATCTGGCTGGTCTGTGTCCAGTACCACAAACTCCAGGAACCCCCACAGCCTCAGAAAAGTTACATATCTTCGACACTCCACTTGTAGGCAAGTTCCTCCACCGCCTTCTTGCTGGCAAGCCGGGCAAAGCGCTTCTGTTCAAATCCATTGGATCTGTCCACTCCATCCCAACGATACCCAGGCCAGATATTGAATCTGTTGGGAGGAGGTGCTGGGCCACTGTAGCGAGGTCTCACTTTCTTATCCTTGTTCTCCTTGGCCTTATTCTTCTTGATAAAGTTGGCCATGGGGTCCCCCTCCCTTACTTGTTCTCTCAGCATCCGATCCAGATCTTCATCCTCAATATAGCGGGCCAGAGGCTTCTGCATTTCCTTTATTGCATCCTCCACATTTTGTTGCTGCTGCCGGCTCTGGACAAGCCCTTTTCCCCACTGGGCATACAGCTCATCTCTCTTTGAGTCCTTCTCTGCTCTTCGCCTTTGCTCGAAACGTTCCAGTTTCAAATTCCTCTTACGACCAGACTTATCTCGAAATACGGTTTCAGCATATTGGAATTCAGCTTCAAATGCCATGGTTTCTTGATCCCGTTCCTGGAGTTCCTGCTGCTCTCGCTGTGTGTCAGTTAACACCAACCCAGTTTTAGCCCCAGAATACATGTGTGCAGCCTTCTTCCCCAGAGGCTGAGTCCTTCGAGGTGGAGACAGGTCAGAATCAGAGGATTCGGCCCTCTGTTTCCTCCTTGGTGGAGAGAGGTCAGCATCAGAGCTGTGGCGCCCAGGTCTATTTCCTGGAGGTGACAGATCTGAACCAGAACCCTGGGGCCTTGAACTTGGTTTCTTCCGCGGAGGAGAAAGGTCTGAATCAGAGGCTTTCCGACTGTCTCCTGGGTAGGAGGAAGAGCCCAACGTGTGACTCTGACGTCTTCGAGGTGACGAACTCGTATGAAATTTTCTACGGCTGGGTGAAGAGCCTTTAGAATCACGCTGTTTATTTCCATAATGAAATGTTGCTTGCCTTTTTCGTGGTGGAGAGAGGTCCGAGTCACATTCATACTTGCTGTTCTTTGGGACTGAGGGATGAGCGGTTCCTGGCCCCTTCCAATGTGGAGAAGGTTTGCTAGAGGCTCTTTCTGGGGCTTTACTGCTTTTGGTTCTGTGCAGTGAATGAGGAACATTAGGAGGCGAATCAGGGGAGTCATGACGGGCCCTCCTGAGCTTTGATGTGTCCAAGGATTCAAGAGTCCTTCTAGGTTGAGAGGTGTCATGACGGGCCTTTCTCTGAGGAGAAATATCTGAGGAACTGTGATGCGCCCTCCGAGGAGATACACCTGGAGGACGATAATGCTTCCTGAGCAGAGAGGGATCCGGTGAATCATGATGGGCTCTCCTAGGCAGAGAAGGGTCCAGGGAGTCATGGAAGACCCTCCTAGGCGGAGAAGGATCTGGGGAGTCATGGCGGACCCTCCTATGTGGAGAAGGATCCGGGGAGTCATGGCGGACCCTCCCAGGTGGAGAAGGATCTGGGGAGTCATGGCGGACCCTCCTGGGCGGAGAAGGGTCCGGGGAGTCATGGCAGGAATGCCTGTGTGAAGGTAGATCCTCACTGTGGCCTCCCAGAAGCTTCCATTTGGCACTGGAACGAAAGGTTTCCATCTGCTTTGCCTCTTCTGGCCTCTCATCCACAAACTCAGCCACCACAGGCCAATCTCCATCATCTTCCTCTTCTTCCTTTTCGGGTTTAGTGGTGGAGATAGATGTCCAGCTCACATCATCATCCACAATCCGCATTCCCTTGCCGCCGGCACCGCCAGGCTTAGGCCGCTTTTTGCGACACTTGAGAATGAACTCAGAACCCGCGGGGCCGCCAGCATCGGCCCAGGACAAGTAGCGCTTCAGGACCTCGGCCTTGGAGATCGTCGGGGCTGCCGCCATGGCAGCGCGGGTCAGGGCGACGGGCACTTTCCCTTGAAAAGCCGGGGTCTTGCTCACTCTCCCTCGAAAAGCTGGGGTCTTGCTTTCCCTCGAAAAGTTCCGCTGTGTTTCTTAGCGATGCTGCCAGGAAGAGTCTGAAACCCAGCAGCCTCCGCCACCGCCTCTGTTACTGGGGGGGTCTCGCCTCCATCGCTGGCTGCGAGAACTCGCTCTGGATTTTTATCTCAGGGCATAACTGGTTGTTTCTGTAGAGCAAGATCCTCAATATGTGTTGGGGTCCAGCCCCAGGTCTAGGGGTTCCCAAAGGTGCGGACGGAGTGGGCAAAGAAGGAATGACACGGAGGCAGCGTTCAGTTAATCAGCAGCCTAGCCAGGTCCTCTAGCCAGGATCTCCAGCCAGGTTCTGTGCCTTATTGTCTTGTTACATCTGTATTTGTACCAGTTGATTTTAATCCTATCAATTTCTATTCCAAAGTTTGGGGTGTTTCTTATCTCCATTCCAGGGAGTAAAGATTATATAGCTTAAGCTTGATTGTTCGTAGTTAAAGTGATTAACTACCACCTGGCACTTAGGGAGGGAATAAAACCCCTTAACTAACTTCAGGGAAAAATCCCTACCTGGGGAAACAACCTTTCTCAGAGAGGTGACCTTGGTTAAAACACATAGCGCCAAGAAGGGGAGCAAATATATTAAGAACAGTATGCCATATACACCAGGTCCCTTGAAACATATGCTGTGCAGACCTTTCTTCCCTGCAACAACTGTGTCAAGCAGCAAGGATGGACCGGCTTCCGGCACATTTGGGCACCCTGGAAATCCTTCTCTGAGCCCCCTTGCCAGTGGCTGATTATATATGGACTAGTGGTCTGGTGCATGGATATGTGCACACTGAAAGGAAGTTAAATTTGCAGCAATTCCTGTAGATGCTGTGGGTAAAACAGAACCACCATGACCTCTAATATAATGTATTAAAACGTTATAAAGGTATGTTTTTCCACTACTCCCTGGGCCATCTAAGAAAAAGCATTTGGGGTATACAGTTTGATCTTCGATGGCTGAAGTTATAGTGTGAAAGGCTGCCAACTGTTCACCGTTCAGAGAATTGATCAATGTTTATGTTTAAATTGCCAGTGTGTGTCATATGTGCCGGATGGGCGGTCAGTCACTTAGCCTCATATATATATATATATATATATATATATATATATATATATATATATATATAGATGTAGATAAGAGAGATGTTACACTGCAGCTTGCAGCTGCACGTAGCTATGGAAAAGGAAGGTTCAGTCCAGCCTTCAGGAGCTCAAAGTCCCATAACAAGGTGGCTAAACCTCTATGATGTTACAACAGCTCAGATCGTTCCTGGAACTGGAGAATGGTCGGAGTTGCTGAGAAACTCCCCGAGGGAGTCAGCGTCTGGGCACAGCTACCAAATCAAAGCATATTCCTTTCTGAATAATAGACCTACTGAGGCATCTTGTTTCTTTACAGCCTTGTTTTACCTTCCAGTTTTCCCAGGTCTGTGGGGGGGAAAAAAACAAAAACCAAAAACACACACACCTTAGTTAGCAAGGTGAGGAATTGTTAGACACCTGTGGCTCTCTTCTCGTTATGTCCCTTCCCCACTATCAGTGAGGGCTGAGCTACTGTTTGCAGTGGAGGTGGGAGCGCCACTCTTGACCAGAGTCTCAATCTCTGATCCTTTATGGGGAAATCCTTTGTGTGGTATGTGACAGTGAGGATATGGGCTTGAACTCACCTGAGGTGTGTCCCTGACTCTGTTACTTACTAGCTTTGAAATCTTGGACAAGTACCTGATTCTAGAAACTTCAACTCGGACGTTTTGTGGCTAGATGACACTGTGTAGACCAGTGCCCTTCATTGAAAGCACCTTCATTGCAGGGCTTGGGTGTTGCCCACCATGGAAACATCCCTTCCTTTCCCTGCTATTGGTGACTTGCAGATCACGAAATGAGTGAAGGGGCGGGTGCTAGCTACTGATTGAGAGGGAGGGAGCCAGTGAGAAGAGAGGACCAGCTGCCCACCCAGAGAACTTCGGGGCAGGGGTGTGGCTCAGTCTCCACAGCCTATAAAACCCCAGGTGGAGGGGGAGGGCTGCTGCTCAGCCTAGTCCCTGTGACTGAAGAAAGCTGGGCAGGTGGTAGTGGCTCATAGGCTCCTCTGAGTTGCAGGGGGGCGAGCAGAAAAGCCCAGGAGGATGGGGGAAGCCTCTCTTTCTTTCAAAAGGAAGTGTTCTGGGTGGGGATGCAGAGCTCTCAGTCTCCAAAAGCCAGTCTGTCTCTACCTAAGAGCTGGGGTCTGGCTCGCTCTCCCTGGAAAAGCCTGGATCTCTCTCCCTTGAAAAGCCGGGGCCTCGCTCGCTCTCGCTCGAAAAGCTGGGGTCTTGCTTTCCCTCGAAAAGCCGGGGGCTCGCTCACTCTCCCTCGTAAAGGTGGGATCTTGCTTTCCCTCGAAAAGCCGGGGGGCTTGCTCACTCTCCCTATAAAAGCTGGGGTCTTGCTTTCCCTCGAAATGTGGGGGGCTCACTCACTCTCCCTCGAAAAGCTGGGGTCTTGCCACAGTAAATCTCCTAGACGTGGGTCACGCATTAGAAATCTTGATAACGGAACTTGATCTCCCGTGTGTGTAGGGGGCGGGGGGGGGGGGGAGAGTGTGCGTGTGCGTGTGCGTGTGTACATCCGCAGTCAGGCACGGACACTTCTTGATTTGAATGGTCTGTCGGCATCCATGAGTACCCTTCAGCCCCTGTCTCCTCACAGACAGCACCCCCAGCTTGTCCTTCCCCCCTGGGGTCCAGCCAAACTGGGGAAGTCCAGTCACCTGGCTCTGCCTTCCCCAGAGGAGGCTGCAGGAGAGGGGCTTGCATTGGCACTTCTCGACCAGCAGAGGGCCCCGACCCCAGTCAACCCAATCTCTGTAATCCACAGCCAAAGAAGATGTTGGAGCTGGGCCATCTAGTCAACCGCCCCGCCCGTACCCGGCCCCTTCCCTCTCTGGATGGATGGTCAAGCCCCCGCCCAGAGACCAAGTCCGGGCCAGGCCATCTTGGCTTGCCAAAGCATCAGCGTATTGAAAGGCTGGAACAACGTGTTTTCTAAGGAGTTTTTGTTTCTTTGTTTGTTTGTTTTTGTTTTTTTGGAGGGTTTTTGGGTTTTTTTGTGTGTTTTTTGTTTTATTTTTTTTGTGTGTTTTTGTTTGTTTGTTTTTGGTCAGATGTCACTTTAATTGGCTATAAATATAAAACCTGTCTTTGGAGACTATCAGGAGCCACATTTGGAAGAGAAGAGAAAGCAGAGGCACCCTACTGAGGGCCCAGGGGAAACAACAGGCCGAGCAGGTCAGCGATGGCTGAAGAATCCTTGAGGATGGTTATATTTAAACGGCTTCATCCTGCTGGGACCCCTGAAAAGCCACAGACACATATTCTCCTGGGGAAACTTCTTGGGCCCCTCCATGCTGTCATCGTGGATCTCGGTCTCCAGGTAGACGTCCAATAGCATGCACAGGCGCTGCAGCTGGTTGGTCAAGAGCTGATGGCCAGGCCGGGGCCCACACAGCTCCTTGTAGCACACGTTGACCTCGCTCTCCATGGCCCGAATATTGTCATCATTGCTGTTGGTTTTCTCCACTTTCCAGTTCAGACAGAGCTGGAAAATGAGTGGGATGGAGGAGTAGCCGGGGTTCAGAACCACAATTGCCTGGAGTTTGGCTGTGCCCCATTCCACGAGTGCCATGTAGTAGAGATTGGTGTGCACAGCCAGTCCTGCCTCCACAATGTCTTTGGTGAAATGCAGCTCCACGTAATCCTCATGGGCAATCGTCACCCACTTCACCAGGCGAGAGACAAACTTTGCAGAGAAGAGGTAGTGGCAATCGCTAGTAACTGGTACAATGCCGTAGTCCAGGGATGCGAACTGTTTGTGGAGGGCCAGGCGGGACTGCACGCTGGCCTTTAGCAGTTTCATGGTGGTCAAAGAGGACATAGAGGGGAGGCAGCAGGTGTCTGGCCGTCTCCTATTGTTTGTGAGCCTGGTGGAAAGGCATGGACAGGTACTCTTGCACCGGGAGGGAAGCCTGCATGATGCTGTTCAGGCAAAGCTGGAGGCTGCGCAGGTATTCCTTCTTCACTTCAATCTCCTGAAGGATCTTCTCCTTGTTGGAGAGGGACTCTCGGTACTTCTCCGCCAACCGTTTCCGCTGCTCCAGCTCCCAATGCAGACGTGCAAGGGTTTGCTGGTGAGGGTCTCCCATGGTGATCTCAGCCTTGCTGATATCTGGAGGAGCCTCTTGATAAAACTCCTCTACACTGACCAGATCAATTTCTTCATGCTTTGACTTGAACTCCGGACCTTCAGTGATCTCCTTCTGCAGGTGCATCACCTCATGCAAAAGGTTCTGGAGCTGCAGGTGAGACGCGTCTACTTTCTGCTTGGCCTCATGGGTCTGATCTCGTCCTTTCTTCAACCTGATGTGGGCTAATCGGTTAAGCTTCTTTAGAGTCATGAAATGTACACAGCTCTGGATCCTGCGCCCTTCAATCTCAACGGCCGCATCCTTGCCTCCCCTGCTCTTCAGGTCCTGGATCTCGGCCATGAGTCGCTGCAACTCCTGGCACGTGTACGTGTACAGCTCATAGTCTCTTCCAGGGTCCCGCAGGTTCCACCTCAGCCTCCTCACTGTAGTATTTGCCTTCCTGCTCAGGGTCAGAACGCTTCCGCTTCCGCTTCCCTTCTGCTGGAGCCTCCTCACTTGGAATCACTTTGCGCTTTCTGCCCCTGGCTGGACTCTGATGACATGGTTGTTTGGGGAGGTCAGGAAGAAACAGTAGAGCCTCAGGGGTGGCCGCGTCCGCGACCCGACCTGACCCAACCCGACCCGACCCGACCCGACCCGACCCGACCCGACACAGGAAGGCCCCCTCGGCGAAGGCAATGCAGGTGTAACGGAGCGGGTCCTGGGGGTGGGTGGAGGAGGGGGTGCCGTTGAGGATCAAGCGACACTCTCTTTCCGGTTCCTGTTAGAAACGGCCTACCGCTCCCAGGAGCATCTGTTGTCCCTCGTTGACCACCTGAGAACCACGACGTTCCTTGCTTCAGGAAGGGACTCTATCTCAGAGCTTCATGCGGCGGCCGGCCGGGGCCACTGCAGCCCGCGCACCATCCAGAAGAGGAAGGAAGAACCACCTATATCTTTTTGAAAAAGGTCTCTCTCTCGCCTCCCACTGTGGAGTTGGCTGTCTTGCCAACAAAGCCCTGGGCTCCAGTGAGGGAGACTTGCTGGAGTCCAACCCCAGCAGGTCCAGGGGTCCCCAAAGGTGTGGACGGAGTCGGCGAAGAAGGAATGACACGAAGACAGCCTTCAGTTGATCAGCAGCCTAGTCAGGACCTATAGCCAGGATCTCCAGCCAAAGTTCTGGTCGGAGTTCTGGTTAGGAACTGATGAGGATCTGATGAGGATCTGATGTTTATTGTCTTGTTACATCCGTATTTATACCAGCCGATTTTAATCCTGTCAATTTCTATTACAAAGGTTAGGGCGTTTCTTATCTCCATTCCAGGGAGTAAAGATTATGTAGCTTAACTACCCGCCTGGCACTTAATTAAGGGGTTGTATCCCCTCCCTAACCTCAGGGGAAAATCCCCACCTGGGGAAACAACCTTTCTCAGAGAGGTGACCTTGGTTAAAACACATGGCACTAAGGAGAGCAAACATATTAAGAACAATATGCTATATATGCCAGGTCCCTTGAAACATATGCTGTGCAGATGTTTCTTTCCTGCAGCGACTGTGTCAAGCAGCAAGGATGGACCGGCTTCCGGCAGAGACTTATATACACCGAGGCCGGAGGTCTGAGCCAATCAGAAGACACGCTAGAGCCCTTCCCCATTCCTGCAGTGTGATTGGTGGATTCTCGGTGGAAGAGCCAGTCCAGTGGCTCCGCCCCCGCTTGCCAGCCCCAGATAATCTTCACCCTGAGCTGCAGGGAGCAAAACCGCTCCCCAAGTCGCTCTCCTTCCCTCTCTCCCATCCGGGGGTGCGGGGGAGGGGTCGGGGCGGTGCTGGGGCTGGGCGGCGAGGACTTGGGGGCCTGGGGCCCCGGGTCCGGACACGGGGGAGCTGGTGGTGGCGGGGACTGTGGTGAAGACTCTGGAGGCCAGCCAGGCCCTTCCGGTGGATCCCCCCAGCTGCTGTGAGCGCTTCGGCCGCCCTCGGGGAGCCCGGTGAAAGGCCTGTCCCTCCCCGGGTTGCGGCGTGATTCACCACCTCTCTGCTCCAGGTCACGGGTGCAGGTCATCCCTGCCGGCCCGCGGTTCCGCACCGGGCCTCGCCTAGGCCTGCTCCTAGCAGCCCACTTAGAACTGGTGCGGACCAGAGGAATCCGACTGTTTAATTAAAACAAAGCATCGCGAAGGCCCGTGGCGGGTGTGGACACGAAGTGATTTCTGCCCAGTGCTTTGCATGTCAAAGTGAAGAACTTCAATGAAGCGCGGGTAAACGGCGGGAGTGACTATGACTCTCTTAAGGGGGCCAAATGCCTGGCCATTTAATTAGTGATGCGCATGACTGGAGGCATGAGATTCCCACTGTCCCTACCTACTATCCAGTTAAACCACAGCCCAGGGAACGGGCTTGGCGGAATCAGCGGGGAAAGGAGACCCTTTTGAGCTTGACTCTAGTCTGGCAGGTGAAGAGACATGAGAGGTGCAGAATAAATGGGAGGCCCCCGGCGCCCCTTCCCTGAGTCCCCGCGAGGAGGCTGGGAGGGGGGCCCGCCGCCGGCCTTGAGGGCCGCCAGTGAAATACCACTGCTCTGATCGTTTTTTTTCACTGACCCAGTGAGGCCTCGCGGGGCTGGAGGGGAGTGAGCCCTCCGGGGACAGTGCCAGGTGGGGAGCTTGACTGGGGCCGTACACCTGTCAAAATGCTGACACAATACTTTTTATTTTATTTTATTTATTTCTTTATTTTTTCTTTCTTTATTTGAGTGGGGGCGGGTTCGAAGAGCAAATAAATGTTGACAGAATACATTTTTTTTCTTTCTTTCCTGTACAGCCCGCATACAATGGTACATTCTTATCATGAATCCACATTTACAATTTATTTGTTCATTTATTTATTTACTTTTGTCTTTTATTTATCTTTCTTTCTTTCTTTTATTAAGGGGCAGGTGCCCAAGGAAGCCCGCAGGGCTCCGTCTCCACGCCTTGCGGGGCGGCATCGCCGTTTTCTGGGTTGAAGCGTGTAGGAGAGCTCACAGTGAAAAAGTATTGAAAACTGAGTTAGAGTGAGGAAGAATGTCTTCACACCGAGGTCCCCATAGGAGGTCTCAGTAGAGGCATCTGAGAAAGGCCTCAGCTGACGAAGTGGCTTCTGAGTCAAGGCACCTGAGCTGGGAGGTATATATACACAACAGCTTGGCCGGCAGGGCCCCCTGCTTGCAGCTCCTTTTGGGGAACCTAGTGCCTTTGCTGGTCACCCCGTCAGTGTGAGGAGGGCAGCTTTCCGGCAAGGAGGCCTGCCAGCATTTTGTGACGATTTTCCTTTGTTCAAACCTTAATCTGGCTGAAAAGGAGACATCAACTGAGCTGTCAGCTGTTAAAGTGTGCACACATGTTTTGGGGACACCCTGCATACTGGAGTCCTGTTGAGAGAAAGGGAGAGGAAGAGAGACATGAAACATCCATGAAGAAAGAATTACCGAATTGCTGCCTCCTGGAAGCCCCACACTGGGGATCGAACCTACAAGTGGCCATATGCCCTAACCTGGAATGGAACCGAGACCTCCTGCTTCGTAGTTGGACGCTCAAACACTGAGCCACACCAGGCAAGCAGCATTTATGTTTTAGCTGCATCTTTCAGACAGTTGTTTTCAGAAGCAAAGCCTGGATGTTGCAGAGAGTATGAAGCGAATGCACAAGGACAGGCACCAGCAGATGTAGGCCCCGCTCTGAGAGATTTCCTGTTAACGAAACAACCTCATCTTCCCACTACTGACTTAACGTGGGTGAAAATAGAACAGAAATCTTTGTCCTCTGACTTTGGAAATCTTGTTTAACCTTCAAACTTGCAATGTCAAGGGTTTCAAGTCCGCCAACTCCAGAAGAAATGTCGAGTGGCCCTGGAGCTGAGAGCTGGAGCCACACTGAGATCAAGTTGGTAAAATTCTCCCACACATGGACCATCAGTAACTTTAGATTTTGCCGGCAGAAGTGGGTGAAGTCATTCAAAGTTCAACCTTTTCATCAGAAGGCAATGATGAACTGAAATAGTGTTTGGAAGTATACCCAAAAGGGCGAGATGAAGACAGCAAAGGTTACCTGTCACTTGACGTGTGTCTGGTCAGTTCTCCAAAGCATGTTATTTTTGGCAAAATTCAAACTCTCCATCCTGAATGACAAGGGAGAAGAAACCAAATCTTTGGAGAGTCACCGGCCATATAGCTTTGTACAAGGCAAAGACTGGGGAGTCAAGAAATTCATCCATAGAAACGTTCTTTTGGATGGAGACAAGTCTTCTCCCTGATGACAAGTTGACCCTCTTCTGTGAGGTGCCTGTGGTGCAAGATTCTGTCACCATTTCTGGCCAGAATACCATGAAGATGGTGAAGGTCCCTGAGTGCCAGCTGGCTGATGAGCTAGGAGGACTTCGGGAAAATTCCTGGTTAACAGACTGTTGTTTTTGTGTTGGTGCCCAGAAATTTCAGGCTCACAAAGCTATCTTAGCAGCTCGCTCTCCAGTGTTCAGGGCCATGTTTACACATGAAATGGTGAAGAGAATAACGAATCAGGTTGAAATCACTGATGTGGAACCTGGAGTTTTTAAGGAAATGATGTGCTTCATTTACACAGGGAAGGCTCTGAACCTGGACAAACTGGCCGATGGTTTGCTGGCAGCTGCTGACAAGTATGCTCTGGAGTGTTTGAAGGTCATGTGTGAGGAAGCCCTCAGCAGACACCTCTCTGAGGAGAATGCTGCAGAAATGCTCACGTTGGCTGACCACAGCACAAAGCAATTGAAAACTAAGGCAGTGGATTTCATCAACTCTCATGCTGAGGATGTCTTGGAGACCGAGGGGTGGCAGAAATGGTGGAATCCCATCCCCATTTGGTGGTTGAGATGTACCGCTCTCTGGATTCAGCACAGGGCCCCTGACTGGGACCCCCACACAAGCGCCTGAAGCAGTCCTGAGATCCTGCCCATTTAAGACTCCCTTGAATTTCCAGAAGCAGCAGCCACTGTAGCTGCCATTGAGCACCAGGTAGACACCCCAACCTGTGCAGTTTTTCATCTGCTGTGGGGGGAAGTCTGCATCTTGGCCCCAGATTTTTAGTTTTCTTACTTTCCTTAAAGAAATCATATTTTTAAGTGTATCTTTATAGATTTCAGAGAGGAAGGGAGAGGGAGAAAGAGAAACATCAGTGATTAGAGTGGATCACTGGTGAGATGGCGGGAATACAGCCGGAAGGCATGGCTTCCGTCAGCGGCTTCGTGCGGGAGAGCCTCTGCGAACAATGGCTGCCGGGCTCTCAGTTATGCATTTGGACCCAGTTGGCCACAAGGAGTCCTTTTTGACAGAGACAAGATTTCTTCATTCAGGATCCAGTGTATATAAATTCAAAATCAGATATGGTGACAGCACCAGAGGGGAAGATATAGAAAATAAGGAAGTCATCGTCCAGGAGCTGGAGGAGCAGCAGCTGTGTGAGCAGCCCGCTTCCCCATCTGAAGAGCAGCAACCACACGAGCAGTCCGACCTGTCTGAGGAGCAGCAGCCGCACGAGCAGTCTTCCTACGTCTGAGGAGAGGCAGCCCTGCGCAGCCCGCCCCCATCCGAGGAGCAGCAGCTGCGCACAGCCCGCACCCTGCACTAGTCCGAGAAGCAGCAGTTGCACAAGCATCTTGCCCTTGCCCAAGCAGCAGCAGCCCCACAAGCAGCCTTCCCAATCCGAGGAACAGCAGCTGTGTGAGCAGCCCGCCCCCATCCGAGGAGCAGCAGTTCTGCGAGCGGCCTGGCCCCATTTGAGGAGCAGTGGCAGCCCACCCCAGTCCGAGGAGCAGCAACCACAGGAGCAGACCACCCACATCCGAGGAGTGGCAGCTCTACGCAGCACACACCGGTCCGAGGAGCAGAGCCACAACAGCCTGCACCTGTCCCACGAGCAGCAGCCGGTCCTAGGAGCAGTAGCCCACAAGCAGCCCACCACATCAGAGGAACAACAGCAGCGTGCAGCCAGCCCCCATTCAAGGATCAGCAGCCACGTAAGCAGTCCGCTCCAGTCCAAGGAGTAGCAGCTGCGTGTGTAGCCCGCCCCATCCAAGGAACAGCAGCCTAGTGATCAGCACATCCTCTGTCTCAGGAACAGCAGCTGTGCGTGAAGCCTCCCCCCACCAGCCTGAGGAGCCACCACAGCAGTGAACAGCACCCACCACAGGAGCTGCTGCCAACTGAGGAGCAGCTGCTACAACAACCGCCAGAGGAGCAACCACAGCCTGAGGAGCCACTGCCACCCAAGGAGCAGCCCCTGAACGACTCAACATCTAGATATGTCGGTGAGATCAAACACGGGTAGACAAATAAACCCCCAAGACCCTGACCCCCTCTGAGTTTTTTTCAGGAACGCTGACCATTCTCTGGTCCCAGGGATGGTTGGACCTGTTGTAATATCATAGAAGATTAGCCATCTCATTATGGGACTTTGAGCTCCTGAAGGCCAGACTGCAGACCCTGGTACATGTTACACTTGCAGCTTGCAGCTGCACGTAGCTATCTTCTCCCTCATGGGTATATAATCAGCCAATGGGCAAGGGGGCTTAGAGCAGAATTTCCAGGGTGATTGACTGCTTTCCCCATAATGCTGGCATTATTGGAATAAATGTTCATATGTGATTCAACCCTGTCTCTGCTGAATTTGGCTCAAATAGTGACAGGCAGCCTCAGACCCGTTGTGTCTGGTTTCATTTATACCTAGCCAGGTGCGGCATGAGCCCCTTGCTCAGCATGAGCCAGTTGAATATGGTTTACAACCAAGTGAACTATGGAGTTAAAGTTAGAACTTTCTCAATCAATCTGTTTGGTTCAGGCAAGAAAGTCACTTGACCTCACTTCAAGTTCATTTCCATCAATGGTTACCTACTACTGCTCAGGCACCGTGGTAGAGCAAGAGAGGAGTTCTAGGAGAACCTGCCCAAGTTGAAAGCTGCTCAAGGATCAGGGAAAACAAGCTAGAGTTAATTTCAGCACCCCCCCCCCCCCATACAGGGCACTGAGTCGCCCACTCTCTTTAGCTTCATCCATGTTCTTTGCTACTTGGTAACTGGACACAGAATAGCTTCCCCACATTTTCACTTGTAGACCTGATACCCTTTCTTCAAGGGCCATTTAGGAAGCCTTCTTGTAACTTAGCAGGTATGAGATGCATGGGAAGAAAGGATTCTAACCCCCTTTCAGAAAATAGACATTTGATAAATGCATACCCCACACAAACTTCGGAGTTGTGTTTTGAAGCAGATGGTCGGGGGGCAAGAAGAAAAGATGAACTGGCCTACTTGCACTTCAAGGAGGAAGGCTCAGGGGAAAGGTATCATATACATGTCAAGCAAGTCCACGTTGACACGACCTGGTCTTTCCCTTTACGTAGTTCTGTGCAGAGAATTGCTTGTAAGCATGAGTAGGTGTTTATAGCCTGAAGTTACCCAACTCCTCTGCAACGAATACCCATGGCCAAGTTCATTTCTTGCCTTGCAAGTGAACTTCATATATACAACTCAGCTTCAATAACAAGATTCAGAGCATCTTAACCTAGGTCTGTTAGATTCCTATGGAATGGTCTTGAAGCCAGAGACTGAGAAGACCCATTAGGTGTGCATGAGTACCTCTTTTGGTAGGACACCTGTTTCAGGGTAATGTCAGAATAAAGAAGTTTCTAGAAGTGTTCTCACGGGGGTAATCTTCTTGGGGCTTCAAACACTTTAAGGAAGCCTGCTAACAGTTAGGTCCATGGTATAGTAAACCTCTTATCCCCAGGGATCATGTTCCAAGACCCCACAGTGGATGCCTGAAACAATTTCTGAACCCTTTACATATGTTTCCTGTATGTACCTGTGATAAGAACTTAATTTATGTCAGGCACAGTTAAAGATGAACAAAATAATGTACTGTAAGAAGAGTTATGTGAATTTGGCACGATAATGTGCTAATCTAGACAGCTCCTAAGTGAC